AGCAAGGGATTGCTGCTGCTGCAGCCGGTGCTGTCGCGCGCTGCGAGGGAGAGGGGCTTTCTCGGAGGGCCCGAGAGCAGGCAGCGCAGCGGGAAACTACCCCTAAGGCTGGCGGTTAAAATCCAAAGCCGAGGTGAGAGCAGAGCACCACCTGCCAGAATCCTTCCAGGCGTACCCCGAGCTGGGCTCCGTCTCTGTCTGCCCACAATGCCTTTGCCAAGGGGGTGACAGAGCAAGATGGATCTGTCCTTACGCTCCCGTCTCCGTGATGCCAAAAGGGACCGGCTGGCACCCCCCGCACCTAACTGCTGCCGAGACAGGGAAGGGTTCTGCGAGTGAGGCTGGATGCGCGTCCGTCCCTGACCCGCACCCCGCTGCGCCGGGGCCAGCACACGGCTTCAGCGAAGGGACCACCCCGTATCAGCCCCGCGGCGCTCACCGGCAGTGACGTGGTGCGCTCGGACGAGATCGAGGCAGTGAGCGGCGGTGACCACCCAGCGGCTGCCGATTAAACTCCCGCCGCAGAAACCAGCGGCCCTGCTGTCCCGGACCAAAACCTGCGGGAGAGGGGAGGAACGTGTCGGAAATTCAGGAACTGTTATTTTTCCTCGTATTGGTAATAAAATGGGGAACGACCTCCAGCACAGAAACTGGAGGGGTAAACCCACGCTGCTCGGTGTCAGATGTGTGTCTTGTCTATTCCGAATCACAAGCTCCGTTAATGCCTCGGCCTCTCTCCAATTAAACTCCTCCCTGAACCTGTTACTTCGTATGGAAAAGGTTAACTTTGGGTGCTCTGCAGGCTCAGTGAAGTCAGACAAACAGTGAGAAAAAGGTGCACCAGAGCCTGGGCACCTCCCTGGTCTGGTTCCTGGCGTCATGTCACGTTTGGCATCAGCCACTTTGACTTCCGCCCTGTATGAGTTATGTTCCTACTCTGGGCAGCAGTGCTGGAACAAGACATGGAAAAGTAGCCAAGGAAAACCACCTGAAAATTCTGCCTCGGGTTACGAAGCACTGGAATGGAAAGGGTTTGCAAAACCCTTTAAAAGACAAAACCAAACCAAACTTCAGTCGAGCCCAGTGACAAGGTCACTGACGGCACCACCATTCACACTACAGGCCCCTCCGGCAGCCCAGCTCCCAGCAGACCAGCAGGGAAGCAGCTGCCCTTCCTGCTGGGAGGGGTAAGGTGGCAGAAACCCACAGGTGACATTCCGGCCTGCAGGAAGTGCCCGGCGCCTGCGCGGGCCGTGCAGGTTCAGCCGCCTGTCCCTCCACCCGCGGAACACCTCCTGCTAGGGGCGAGCGCTGTGCGGCGGCGCAGGCCCTGGGGTTTTCACATCAGCCTGTTAACTGCCGGGGCACAAGCCCACGAACGGCGACTGATGAAACTGGGGCAGCGTAGATAAATGAGCAACACACACACAAAACCCCCAAACCAAAATTAAGATAGTGCCAGTAAGCGAGCGCTGCCGGGAGGTTGCCCTGCTTGCCACGCGCTGAGCCCTTCACAGCCGAGCCCTCTCAGCCCTCCCTTACCCTGACAGCTAGGAACAGCTCAGCATTCCAAGGAAGAATCCCACCTGGTCATAGAACAATTCTCGTGTAAAATGTCACCAGCCACTCCAGAAGGAGGTGGAGCACAGCTTTTCCCCAAGACCACTTGGAAACAACCTGCACACCACGGGAGAAGGCCGACCGACGTAGTTAGGAGAGGCAGCGCGAAGCTGAGGTCACAGACTAGCGAAGGGGGAAGAACGACAACGAAGGGCCCTATCGGCAGAAGGACCTGCAGGAGTCTGGCAGATGCTTGGGGCTGGACTGCTCCCGGCCTGAAAACAGCTTCGTGGTGAGCTCTGCTCCAGCTGGAACCAGGAAGGAAGCATTCAGACTGGAAAGGGAAGTGTTACCTGCCAGGGGCAATGTCCACGGTGACACAGAGTTCCTCCCGTTATCCTGGCGTCGTGCTCTGAAGTCGAGCTGACTTCTCCCCGGAGGAAGCGAGGTGTGCCTGAAGCGTTCCCCCCGTCGCTGCGCTGAGCGAGCCGGCCGTGCTGGGTTTGCGAGCCAGCCGTGCTGGGTTTGAAAGGCCCCGTGTTTGTTCGGGCCAGCACTGCTCCCGGTTTGGTTTTGCCCAGCAGCGTCTTCCTCCGCTTCCTTCTGCCTGGCAGCGGGCGCCGTGGTCTCATTCTGCCACGCAGGGCCCCATGGTGGCTCGCTCCCCAGAGCCAGGCCTCTCCCGGGCCTGCTGGTCCCCTCCAGTGCCTCTTCCTGCCTGGGGACACCCGCCTCCTGCCCAGCAGCACCGTGCCCCGGCGGCTCCGGGGCGAAGGAGGCCACCAGCGTCCCGTTCCAGCTGGACGCCCCACCTGCCACCCCAGCTCGTCCGGCACCATCACCCTCACCCTCCGTGCTCTGCCCGAAGGCACCCTCGGAGGGCTCGCGTTCCCCAGCAGCGCTTGGTTCCAGCTCCGTTTGCCCGACCGTGGCCTTCGAGCTCTCGTTCCC